ATGTGCTTGGGGTCCGCTGTAATGGAACGGCAAACCATTACAGCTTGCAATTAAAGTATAATGACTTTTGAAAGCTCTGCGTGTTGCAGCACCACATCGGCGAGGTACCTCATGAAGTATTTTCCCTCTCCATTGTCATCATTCTCACTTCCTACCGAAGTTCATAGAGTAATGCTTATGACACTTCATATTCTGAAGGTTCCAGGTTAGAATCTGGGCCTATTTACGAGCAGTCCTGACTGGAGTACTTGTCATTTTGCTCAGTACCTCCAAGCGAATATTCAAACAGGGATTTAAAATAAATAACTTCTGTTTCTTTCCATAGGTGCTGTTTGTTTGCTTACTTTTAGTTTATTTGATGACGCTTTGAAAGGATGAAAGACTGCCTCTTGCCTACAGATCCAGAGGTCCCGGGTCCGATTCACGGCGCCACCAGTTTTTATGAGAAGTAGTGGGTCCACTGAAGCCTGTGAGGATAATTGAAGAGCTATATCAGTGAAATAGCGGTTCCGGTCTATAAAAACGAGATTAACGGCCGTGGGGATCCTTTGCACTGACCACGTGACAATCTCCATCCCCAAATGTTGGCACTAACTTCGTCGACAAGCGGCGTTCGCTCGGACTACAGGCCACGAAGTTTGTTTGCTTTGAAAGGATGAGAAAGGAAATGGTCGTGGCCTAATTTTAAGTCACTAATGTGGTATTTGTCTCGAGAGACAGAGGACAATCGTGGAATAATCAGGATGATTGTTGCCAGGACAGATTCGAAACGAACAGCTTACGAATATAAGTCAGAAGCACCTGAGACAACTTGGTCGGACATAATCGTCAATTTCGTTCGTACACTATACGTATTACTGATTAATTCAGCTGGAAGGGTTCATTAAATCAAGCAAAAACCAATTTATATGCCGGCATCGTTTCGCTTTTCGATATTTATCTCCATTTTCGATCCTTTCCTAACCTCATACCAGTGGGAAGGGCGCATTTCTTAAAGTATTGATGCCTCGAAAATTTGTTTCCTTCCCAGACAATTTCTTTTTCGATTTTATAGGTTTGCTTATTTCTGTAAATTACGTGCATATTCTTAAGTCACAAACCTTTACCCACATGAGGAACTGTTCCACGGGCAGAAGCCCCAAAATTGGAAAATTTTGGTCGACTGATGGTTTTTAAATTCGCAGCTGTATAGTATATATCTACAGAGTAAACACGATCCAAACTTGCAAACCCGTATAAGATTTTCGGTGTTCAGGACGGTTAGATGTTACAGATGTAGTCTGGTAGAAGGCTACAACTCGGAGGATAGTATTCTTCACTGGGGCTTATCTACGTTGCCGCTGATATCCGTTTCGGAATTAAATACGGTACGTAGTTGCATAGGCGCAGTTCGTGTTGTCCCACCTCTGCCTAGTTCCCACAACAGTGACACGTGGAGCTTTTCTTTCACGTCCCTTGACGCATTCTGGTTGCTTACGTCATAAATGTAGATGGAATGCGGCCTAGGTACTTGTATGTAGAATCGTACTTTCTGGAGTTCCTACATTCGCTTAAATGTTTGTTCTCATCTCGTGAGATGGTCTGCCGTATCACCTACAAGTTAATCCTTGAAAAATGATCTCATATGTATTGTAATGCCGTGTTGTTCAAAAGATCCCAGTTTTCGGAGGAATATATCGTCTTCTTCTTCTTCAGGTTTTAAGAGTGTTCTTGTTTCTGCTGTTTTTTACTTATCTTACTTTTCGACCCTGAAAATGGAGGCGATGTATTTCTCCGAAACGTCAGAACATCTCCGAAATACACGCGTTGTAAACAAGAAGACAGTAATATACATAGTAACAATTGTTGGAATTTCAAATTTAATTAATTTACCCATATTCACTCTTTACTGGACCAATTTAACTCTAGGTAGCGGGAGATTTGAACACTGAGAAACTTCGCATTTTGTATTTATTTATTTGCTTATGGGTTGTTTAACGATGCTTTCAGTAACTAAATTATATAATATTCACAAAATTTGTACTGAGCACTAAATATTATTCTACAGATAAAATGGAGCAAGATGAGATGAGCTGGAAAGTAGAAAGCATGATAAAAAAACTCCGTGGCCTGTAGTCCTAAAGCGAACTATACCGACCGAGCGACCGCCGCTTGTCGTCAAATTTAGTGCCAACTTTAGCGGAAAGAGGGTGTCGCGTGGCTAGCGCAACGGTTCCCCACGGCCGTTAATTTCGGTTTTCTAGCCCGGAGCCGCTATTTCCTTGGAATAGCTCCTCAATTATCATCACGAGGCTGAGTGGTCCCCGTTCCAGAACCACTACTTCTCAGAAAATCTGATAGCTTCGGGAATTGAACCCGGAACCTCTGGATCTGTAGCCAGGAACTCTGACCACTAGATCACAGGGGAGAGAGAAAAGAAATTCTCGGAATACCTGAAGGAAAAATACTATCTTCTATGATCCTACTCCGTTAGTCTGTTAGGCGTTTACCGACGCTACAGAGTAATATACTGCCTCCATCTTCAGGGTCGAACATTAAGCTGGGCAAGCAATCACACATCAAGCAGGAAGGTCGCGTCGGTAAATTTCGCAAGATTACATTGTTCCATACCCTACAAGATGATATTCTTCATAATCACTGGACGATAATCATAATTCAGACTGAAAGGAGCAGACCACTTTGAAGAAGTAATCGTTGATTGGAATATGATAATGAAATCTGTTTTGAAGAAGCAGCTGAGGAGAGAGTGGACTGGATTTAAATGGTTCGGAATTGGGGTCAGTGATGGGCTTTTGTGAATTTGGTAATGAACTTTCGGGGTCTATTAACGTATCCAATTTGTAGTAAAGAAATTTAGAAATTGAGTATAAATTTAGCAAGAACACACAAGGCAGGCATTTACCAGGGGGCAATGCCCCGCAACCCAATTAAAGAGACAAACTGCAGAGCCCAATAACAGGATATGGCACAAAAAAAAAAACCGCTGATTTCTACACTTCCCTATTACAATTATTGTAAATTTTTAATATTTGATATTGTCTGACAGATTACTACTAATGAATGAATGTAAAAAAAAGTAAAGTAAAGCTATCCCTGTACCAGGCCCTGAAGGCCAATAGGGTTATGAGACGTTGAGGGTCCCACATTATCTAGACAATCGGCTCAAAGATGGCTGTAAGGTTGTCAGCTTTACGCGCCGGCCGCGCTTTACTTCCCAGGAAAATTATTTAATTAATTCCTGGTACTCATTTCTGTTAGAGGCTGAGTGGACCCCAGGGGCATAGTGTAGCCGGAAGGATTAGGCCAATTGGAAAAAATCCAATGACCTCATCGGGACTTGAGCCCGCTACCTTCCGGCTTGTAGCATAGTGCCTCGACCAACTACGCTACCGCGTGCCCCATATATGACTGTTTTGAATTATTCATGTAATACTGCTAATGAAACTGTGAACATTTATTTTAGTAATCACTTTTATATCCCTGAAGATGGCTTGATGACCTAAACATAAGAGGTAATTTGATTATTTATTGATTAATTGACTTCTTGTATTCGACTTTGCTTTAACTGATTGGTTGTTTCATAGCTTCGTACGTCGTAACAGCGTCTTCAAAGTAAAGCCATTACTTTTATTCCTCGTGATATTTTACAAAACGAAATGTATGCTTTTTCAAGAATCATATATTATTATGTTCTTTGATGACCGCCGCTGTGGTCTAGTGGTCAGAGTTCCTGGCTACAGATCCAGAGGTCCCGGGTTTGACTCACGACGCTACCAGATTTTCTGAGAAGTAGTGGGTCTGGGACGGGGTCCCCTCAGCCTCGTGAGGATAACTGAGAAGCTATTTCAAGGAAATAGCGGCTCCGGTGTAGAAAGCTGAAATTAACGGCCTTGGGGATTCGTTGTGCTGACCACGCGACACCCTCTATCCGCTAAAGTTGGCACTAATTTCGGCGACAAGCGGCGGTCTCTCGGTCAGTATAGTTCGCTTGCGGACTACAGGCAACGGAGTTTGTTTATTTTTACGTTCTTGGATTCGTCGAAATTTCATATATACCTAGAAAGCTTTTTAAAACGTCATAACCTTTTTCTCGAAGCAAATATGTAATTTTAATAATATTTAAGGCATGTTAAATGCCGCTCAGAAGTTCCTATTGGAAAATACTTTTAGATAGAAGAGTTTGGATCTAGTAGGATACAGGTAGGAATAACTTTGCGAGATAATAAAGATATCAAGATCTACTGCAAGCTGATAATATAGTAGGCGCAGCAAAGAAATATAATTTACAAATGTCAAAATTTGATACAAGGTAGCAGACCATCACAAGTAACTCGTAGCATCCCTATACGGTCTATATTTACGACTAAGATTTGTCTTGGGCCGCGCCATAGCTCAAGCGGTTAGTAGCTGGCTTCCCACCACGGCGGCCCGGCTTCGATCCCTGGTCTGGTGAAGTGGGATTTGTGGTGGACAAAGTGGCACTGGGGCGGGTTTTCTCCGAGTACTTCGGTTTCCCCTGCCAATCTTCATTCCACCAATTGCTCCACAATCACTCTCACCTATCATCTGGGGCTGGTACAATAGGCCAGAAGCTGCCTCAGTACAAGGGAATTAGTTCCACCCCACTAGCAATAAAAGAAAAGATTTGTTTTCTCTCATTCAACCTTCAGCAGAGAGTCGGGAAGAAGATCACAGTATGACAGCAATGGAAAATACGCTGAATTCGGCTTTATAATAACCTACTTTTACGAAAAGGGAATATTGCTTAGTGCGTGGTATAGTAGTATACATATAACTGTCATTTCATGTAATTTCAAGTCATATTCCTTAAGTTACTTAATGAATGTTACTTTCAATCATTTTTTTTCGAAGTTTCAACGAGCATCTAACCATAATTTATGTAATTCTGAAACAAAGAGAAATGTGGGAAGACCCAGTATTAGATAGCAAGAAGGTTTATTGTTTTGGAGGCATGTAGTAGTATCTGTTAAATGTTGCAGTCCAATGGACTTCTAGAGGTGTTATTAATGAGCCCGGTACTACGGTCAATTGCTTGCCACGTCTACCCTTCTTCGATCGAGATGTGATGGACAACAATCAAGTTTTCTAACGGACAGTCATGGCTCAGGAGTTTCTAAAGCAAACAAGTCAACTTACAACTTATCACATATTAGTAACAAAGTTGTTATAGTACATACCGACAATAATAGAGACTGGACAAGTGAAGTACGTGTTATATCACAGATATATATTTTTCATCTCTGCTTCCGTCTTGAATGGAAGCACGAATAGTCAGAGATGATATGTTCGTACAAGTGAAGAGTTATTACTCCTCGGCAATGTTTCCAAGCACTTTTCGCTTACGTTAAACACTGATAGATATTAAATTGACATTTAATATTTAATTCATATACGTTAAGAAGCAATAACGCTGTGAGATAGAATCTAACCAGAAGTGCTCTATGGTTGCAACTGATTACTTGAGCAATAATAGGATTAAATTACATATATCGTTAGTGAAAGTGATAAAATTGTTCAGTGCAGTAATATAAGTGTCGTTATATTATCCTTAATTTGGTGGTAAAATTTAAAGCAAAGAACTTCAAAAGAAATAAGCCTTCGTTATTAGCCGAGGCCATCTTCCATTATAAAGACACTGACTGTGACAATTCTGTGAACTTAAAATCATCAAGCAATAAAAATATCAACAATGGCGTTTGCTGCAGCACGAATGATTCTAAAGGACAAAAGGCGGAAGACGTCGAAAGAGGATTTTGTACCAAGAAACAGAAGCAAGGTAAATAATTACATTTCTTGGATGCTAATCGTCTAATTTTGTATTGATATTTCATTTAGTTGTAATTTATTTTATTATTTTTCTAGTTGGTATGTCTCATTTATTGTTGTGAGGGATTTAATATTTCACAGATTTACACAGCAGTAGGTTAAATCAATTAGAGAATACAAATTAACTGTGATATTTGAAATTCTATAGTAACTGCAGGGATATTTTTCAATTAAAATTGTTATGAAGAAAGCAGTCTTCTGGGATGTGACACCATGTATATGTGGTGTTAACCGACGTTTCGGACGAACGTATCGCCTCCATCTTCAGGGTAAAAGGAAAAATATAAGAAATCCGCAAGCGAAAAGACCGTGAGAACCGGTACAAGCAGACTGGCGATACGTTCCTCCGAAACGTCGGTTAACACCACATATACACGTTGCCACATCCCAGAAGACTACTTTCTTCATAGTCACCTCCGTGAAAACCTCAAATCTTACATAAAGATTGTTAGTTTTACTCCAGATTTCAGTAAATAACTTCGGAAATCTTGTAATTATATCACTTTCGGGAAATTAAAATAGTACAGCACAAAGTCAACCTTTTATTTCCTTTCGGGTTTCAGATTTGCGGATTCTTTGTGTTAAGACCGAAAAAATATATGCAAGGGAGTAGCATGACGACATGCTTGACTGAGTAATCTACAAATTAGGGTATTTATTTTCTATGGAAATTCAGAAAGATTAGAAGCTTTAACACAATTTTTTGTGTGGAAAGAATCGTTTTCTGCGACCGAAAAACAAGATCTGCTAGTTCGTGATCTGGCTAAACTAATTGTGGTTTATACATTATGTCCAAAATAAAGAAAGAAGAAGAGCAGTGACAGCCTATAAACAATTATTCAGTTTTCTATCAAGAATGCATGATTCATAATTGGCAGTAAAATAACGAAACTTAGAGACGGTCTGGAGAAACGGGTGGGATACCTGGCTAATCTGACTGTATTCCTATATAATTAAGTAATTTGTTTAATCTAAATAATATAGAATTATTATACTAGAATAGAATTCTTTATTTTGTATAGCATTTCGAAGGGTTTTCTAGAGTTATGTATGGTAAATACATGTAATTTACTGAATCACAATATTTACAGAACACAGAACTCAACACTAAAATTATTAAACTTCAAATAAATATTTGTATTGTGTTACTGGAGTTATGTTCTTGATCTGAGAAGTGTTTATTTTTCAAATTCAAAATGTCCGCACTCTGAAGCAATTATAATCATATTCTTTAAATTAAAACTTTTTCTCAAAATCAGATTACCCCAGAACAACTGTAATCCAACTATTTAAATTCAAATCTTAACTCAGGTTCCGGAGAAATCCGGAGTATTTGAGACGTTATTCTCAAAATCTAAACACTGAATCAGGTCAGAGGACTATGGGACCATCTTAACAATGGTCTTTAAACTTTATCTCAAAACCCTGAGGAACTTGGAGTAATTCTGATACTATATATTACTTAAATTCAAACCTTCTCTTGTGACACAAAAATATTACAGCATTTGTAATAGTATTCATTCTTTATATTAAAACATTAACTCACAATTCAGAGACATCAATTTTAATATTATTCTCTACATTGGAAATTTTACTCAGGACCCTCGTACAGTTGAAGCAACTGGAAGTAATGTAATATTATCCTTTAAATTCAAACCTCAGTTCAGAACCCAGGGGACTGTACTGCAATTGTAATTCTGTTCATTGTTTACATTCAGATATTTACTGAGAATCCAGATGGCCTTGAAACAATTGTAACACTGTTCTCTAAACTCAAAACTGACTCAGATCAGAGAACACTGGAGCAATTGTAAAAATATTCTTTCAATTAAGAATCATCTTAGAATTTAGGTAATTTATAGCAACTCTAATAGCTTATTGACTCTTTAAAGACTGAATTTCGTCTAAAAAGTATATGCCCGCCAAACGTCTGATCAGACCTCATAGAAAGCACATCAGATCTCCACTTTTAGTGTATAATATGACACGTTCCACTGGTAAGGATCCATATCGGTAGTTCACTGATGATGGTCTTGTACGACCGAAACATGTATCAGGAATAAAAGGTCTAACTGTAAAACATTAAAAGCGAGTATATTTGTTGCGTGACGGTTAACCCAATTCCTGAATATATGTCCACAATAAAAAGATTATCAGGATAATGCTGGTAAAGGAAATGCGGTTTACACTTTCTCACGGGGAAATAATCCGAAAGAATGAAATAAGAAGTACAGTAATCCAATTCTTCTAATTGGTGTCCTGAAAAAGTGGTATAATAGTGAAGTTATTTCCGAAAACAAAAGTTTAAATGTAATATTGGTTATAAATACAATTGTAGTAACAAGTTCTTTTGACTGTTATAACGTGTATATCCATAGCTAGCAACGGATCTCTAAACACACTCCAGCAACACATGTGCAAGCAACAATAGGATCTCTGTTGCTAGGCAACGGGGCCACAAACACGCCCTCTCATAACAGAAGAGACGGTGTTTTCTATGTTGTCCGTCCCGCTGCTATACGAGCATAACGAGGTTCCCAGAATAACTGAGAATTCAGTGGTGAGTAGAAGGATGAGAATGGAGCGTGTCCTAGTGAATTGTGAAGTGATTAGATTAGCGATAGTGCTATAATTGATTGTGATTAATAGGGACTGTGAAATATGTTAATAAATCCTGTCATCTAATCCAGAACGAGTTTTTATTCGTCACGGAACCTCAGATAAGTGACACTATAAAACAATTAAACATTTGCTGAAACTGCGTCATATGACGCATTCTTTTGCACTGTCTATAGACAATACTGGGGAAACTTAACTGAACTTTACGTTTAAAATTAACGTGAAACATCGTAGAAGTGGTATGGACAACTACAAATAATTTCTTTACATTAGGGTCACTTACAGCTTCAAGTGAACACCAAGATATGTGGGTGGGTTATTTCAACATTGTGTTGTAACTCTTTTTATTTACGAAATAATCCTTTAACCATTCACAAAGACACGTAATGAATTCTTCAGATAGTCTGAAAGGGATAAAACTGCTTCTCATGCCAACTTCTTTTTCAGTTTCTTGGTAATCAGTGGCTTACACATGGTCTATTGAATTTCAGTACTTAAACAATACTGCCCCTAAACATGAAAAGTAAAGGAAATAGTGCTAAAATGTTTACTCCTTCACATAAATACTAAGTGGCATTATACGCAAGACATCCATGTGTAGACAAATTTTTAAAGAATGCTCCCAATATGGCATGTTTAATCTGTACGGATTAAGAGCTAAGTTCTGATTGTATGTAAAATCTTATTGTCTGTATGCACACGTGCTGAAATACCTCTATAACTGGTCCATAGACAATATTTTTCTCTAATAATGACTGATATTTTCCCACTTTTCTTTCTGTTGCCCTAGGAATTATATTTTAGTAAATTTTGTGTAAGTGAGCACTCATCTTTGCTTTGTTCTGCTAGGGAGAGGACACACCAAGGAAATTGGCAACCGTAGCGCAACCGAAATTTCCGAGAACTATCATCAGCCTGAGTTAAATGGAGCAGGGTAAATTGAGGAAACTGCGGTTGCGTTGCGGTTGCCAGTTTCCTTGCTGTGCCCTAGCCCTTATGGTTTCATTAAACCATCGGCTAACTTTAACCGTTGCACATGTTGGGTTATACAGCCACTGGCCAGAGTTATCTATCATGAATAATCGTAAACGTCTGGCACTGGAAAATCTAGAAACTTTATGGTCGCTGGTTCGAATCTCACTAAAATTTTATACACTTCTTCTTCTGTTGTTCCCACTCAGAACATAGAGCATCAGTGAACCGTTTCGTTTCCCTACAATTTATTAATCTAAGACAATCTGTGGGACTCTTGGACGGGAGATTAGCCCGTCGCAAGGCCGTTGCCTAACACAGACATTTATGCCTTGAGTGGGATTCGAACCCATGAGCTCATTGTTTGAGCGGGCGAAGATATTTCAGGCCTCAGGCCACGCCGCCGCTGTAATCGGCTCTTCGAGACCAATTGTCATATAATTCACAATATCTAAGAAATAGATGACGTGCAGTGAATAAATTATTTTTATAGACACCGTAAATTGTTGTGTAAGAAAAATTTTTCCCATAAAGACATTCATGCATATCACCAAAATGGAGAATACTTACGTTGTAGAACTGTAAATAGGTCCAGTATATCACTGATGGAAGAACCAGAATTTAAGTATGGAAACACAACTCGCTGTAACAGTGTTTTATTATTTTTTTTAATTCGCTTTGTGGGGGTGAAGTCCAACTGGGTTCACTCGGCACGGCGGCCATTGATTGGCCTACTGTACCCTGCCCCGGGTGATTATGATGCTGGAGAATTTAGTGGAATGAAAACTGACAGGAGAAAATCAGCCCCAGCGCCACTTTGCCCACCACAAATCCCACTTGACCAGACCCGGGATCGAACCCGGGCAGCCGCGTTGGGAAGCCAGCGACTAACCGCTTGAGCTATGGCATGGCCTCCAGTGCTCTTATTAAATTTGCGGAACAGATCCATATATCAGGGCGTTCTAAACAACGGCGACAAAAAAAAATTAAAATAGAATAATATTAAAATTATTTATTAATTTCAAATAAATATTCATTGGAATGAAATATTCAGGATCACATTATACGCCTCATTTTAATTAATTACTGTTTAATTATACAAACACACTTCATTTTCCCGCATAAAGTGTGAATAATTCATTTTTATATAGAAAATATCATGACATTTTCAGTCCTTATGGCGGTACCAAGAATATAACCATATGTTCTTTAGTACCTATTTACCCAACTATACGGCATCGTATCCCAGAACACTGTAATCTTGAAATCCTACATGTTTCAACATGTCTGAAATAATTAGGGCTATAATTTTGGCAAGAACTTTATCGACCGTAAGGACATAGCAACTACTTCGCCTTA